ATTTTCTCCAGATATTAGACTTAATGGAAGGACGACTGTTCTACACTCTCCATGGACATCAGGTTTGTTCATTACATGGTGTAGCAGAAGTTATTTGGATATATCAATAAAGTTGAAATGGTAAATTGGCCACCATAACGATTACAAAAGCTGACGTTTCGAGTGTTAGCCCTTCGTCGGAGCGAATAGAGGAATTGTGGGTTGTGTGTGCTTTTAAAGGCAGAAAATGGAGCTACGTTATTGGTGGGAACATGGCAACGAGAAAAACACGAATAAATTAGTGGAATGAAAAGCGTTCGTTGATCCCTGTGGGATTTAGACTGCTGGTTTGAAAGATGAGCTTTAGTTCAAGATTTTTATGGCTTTCCATGCTACTTAAGTGTAAGAAAAGACCGCAGATTGCCATATGTAGCAGAAGTTAGTGTGTTATAACTTTTTAATCAATTTTTATTTGAAAAAAAAATGATATTAATAATATTTATATGACATATTCAATGCATTACGAGGAAATATACTATGTTGTAGTCTGTTATAAATGGGATAAAGTAGATTCCTCACTACCAGGATTTCTTTTAATATATCCCTTACTAAAGCAGTAGATGGCTTTGTTCAGTGTTTATACAGCTTCATCTAATCACCAGGGAGGTTGAAGGAATGGAAGAGTGTTATTAAGACAAAACTTTTGGGAATTTTGCTCTCTTTATGTGAGACTATGTAAAAAAAGAAAAAAATCATCCTTTAAAACCCATGCACTAATCAAAAGCAATGAGAGTGTGTCACCATTGGTTTACCGCTATAAAGCATTTCATAAGTTAACAGTATTTCTGCAGTATAAAAGGGGTTTAGGCACTGAAGTTTTAATTTTTTTTCTTATTATAGGGTCCAGCAACATGTGTAATTTTCTCACGTAATGGTGAATATTTTGCATCGGGAAGTTCAGATGAGCAGGTAAAAGGAAAACTTTTCTTAATCAATTGTCTGTTAGTCTACTTGTTTTTTTTTTTTGTTTTTTTTTTTTGAGTTGAAAGGGCACTTAGCGCTGTTGCTGTAAGTGATCTTATAATCAACTTAAGTTGAAAAGCAATATTTCTCTTTTTCCCCAGGTGATGGTGTGGAAGACAAACTTTGATAAAGTTGATTATGATGAAGGTAACTTATTTACACATAGAAGAGCCCCTTCACAACTACAGTCATATGTTCATATGTGAGGGTTCCTCAAGGAAGAAATCAGAAATCCCTGGGCAACCTGTGATGAAAGTTACTTAGAGGACTAAAAGGGGTCCCCGGTGTGCATGCAAGAAATTGGAATTTACAAGGAAGTCATCAGACAACTGTCTAAAGTTTTATGTTTGTTAGACCTCTGAAACTTATTACAATTTGTTTTTGTGTTTGTTTTTATTTATTTGTTTGTTTACTGACTAAGCTACTTAACTGACTAAGCTTCCAGCATGTGACCAGTTATGTATTAACCTTTTAACTCCAATGAGTGACCAGGACAGATTTTTTTCTCCTTGGAACATCAGTACAATATCAAGCCGACAAGTGATGAGAATAAGGAAAGAAGAAAATTAGGGGATTATCAGTTGATCCAACACCAAATTCTCCCAACTAACTTCATAAGAATTGTATGGGAGAACGTAGGGAGAATTACTAATTAAAATTAAATGAGATTTTGGAATTGTAAAAAATTGTTTTATATGTTGTTTTCAGTGCTACGCTCTCACAGAAAAAGAGCAGCATCTCCATCTGTACCCACACCTCATACTCATGACCCCCCTCCAAGGACTCCACCCAAAGCAGCTGCACCCGAGGTAAGTCTGGACAAGCTTTGAATTTTTTAATTCAACAGAGAGGAAATTTTTAAGAACAAAAATAAGAAGATGAATAATAAGATGGTGGCAGGCTTAACTCTTTGTTCCCTTAAGAGTGATTAGCATCTAATTTCTCCTTACAATATGACCCCTTAATCAACTATTAAGAGCATGAGAATAGGGGAAATGATCTCCAACGAAACAAAATCTTGATTGTTAAACAAATTCTACTTGTCAGTACCTTAGGAAATGTTTAGGAAACAGTATGGAGAATATGCATACTGATGTTAGGGTGAAAAGGTCCTTAGGAAATGTATAGAGAACAGTATAGAGAATATGCATACTGATGTTAGGGGGTAAAGGGTTAATAGTTTGCCAGCTGAACTCTGGGTCTAGAGTTCTGGGGCCAGTTGGTTTGAAGGTCGATTAACAGTAACCCATGGTTAAATTTTAAACCGAGTTTTTCTTTTCCTTTTTTTCAAAAGCATTTTCTCGGATGATTTTTTTCTATTCTCTTTAGAGCACCCAATCATCAAATTGTAGACAGAATTAATTAATCTGTATGTGCTTTTGAAGCTTTCATAATTATATAAATTCAAATTTCATGCCATCCCTAGGATATCCTAACTCGGTTTTGAACAACCCAGCCTCGGGCCGCGTTGTTCAAATCTGGGTTGAGATAACGCGGGGCTAGTGTTAAATCGGATTTAAGATCTAAAAGCTTTAAAAGAAAATTCAGTATGGTTATTTTTGTCTACAATTTGATGACTGAATGCCCTTCAAAGAATAGCGAATTTTACATCTTAGAAGGCTTTTAAAAAATAAAGAAACCTGGATTTAAATTGAACCCTGGGCTAGCGCCAATCAGCTTAAGAACAACTGGGCCCTGGGCTCAAGACATGGTTAAGTCATTGTGTCGTAGTTTGGGCAAGTAACTAAACTCTCTCAGTGACCTCCCCCGAAGAGTATATTTGGTTACTGGTAGATTGTTTAGGAAACCTAACGAGATGCAAGGGGAGGGGAGGGAAGGGGTAGGGTGACCTGTCATGGACTGTAATCCCATCCTTGGGGAGGAGTGTTCTAAAACTAAAACCTGACAAATCACAAAGACCAACTGGATGAAAGGAAAATAGCACAAGCAGCTAATGAGAACTGAAAGTAAAAACAAGCAAACTGGCTGAAGTGTGGGAAAGTGCAAGTAATCAAGTCGCACTTGTTTAAAGTTTTGAATCTGATTGGTTCAGAAAGTGGCGCGAGTTTTCTTGACCGATCCCAAAGTAAAGTGAATTAAAACCAAAGCAACATCGACTTACCTTGAACACTCAATTGCTAATTGCTCTGATATACTGAAAATGTGTGAAATGTTATAATTCATTTGTTTGATTTACAGGTCAGAGCTGGTGCAGAGCCTAGGAATCTCGCTGTTGGTGAACCAGAAGTGGTGGAGGTTGGGCCTGCCATGTTTTCAATTCCTCAGGTACCCTTGAACAGTTATTCCTTAGCTAGACTCTTTCCGCAAAATTTTCCTTTCGAAACTTTAATCTCCCTGAATGCACTACTTATGGTGCTTTTCTTTTTTTTTTTCCCTCTACTAAAGGAAGGCAAGAGCTTAGGATCCACCTCTCCACTGCGATGCTATTTTGCCTTCCTAAGTTTTTCGAGGGGGAGGTGATAATGGAAATTAACTGCGCGCGAGTGGTTTGTGTCTCTCAAACCGCGCGGACTGCGAGGAAAAAGCGAAATGCTCGTAGTCCATTACAGACCTCGTATTTTATTTTATCTTAGAGCATCGTACAGAACGCGAGCGAAGAAAAGAGCAGCGGGGTATTTAAAGAACACGAAGGTTAAAGGGTGGGAGAAATGGGTTTTTTTTGTTCTTAGCGCTCATTCCTCTGCTTGTTTGCCGCAGATAGCGATGGACAGAATAAAACAGCGTGCTAGTTGAGCAGTCTATCGGGCTGTCACACAGTGCATCGAAAAAAAAAACCGTTATAAAGGCGACTCGTTCATTCCATTTCAATTGAATAACCTCTCTTCCTCCATCGTCCCACCCCCCCTATTCACATTTGCTGAACTTGAAAGTTGCAAAGTTTTGAAATTAAAGGAGAAATAGTGTGACAGAGAAGAATTCCCTAACAGTTGCAGCCGAGCGTCACTTGCCTTCTTCTTCTCGCCTTTCCCTACCCCCTCTCCTCCTAACTCTGAATTAAAAATGACTTGTCGAGCAAACGATCACAAGCTTGTCAAGTTAATTTGCCTTAAGAAGACGCTTGCACAGCAGACTAATTTGACACCATTACTGCAACATTTGTTAGCCAAAAATTAGCCCACGATCCACACCAAATGCGATACACAAAGGAACCAAAATAGGTTATATTTTCCGTTCTCACATGAAAGCAGAATATCCCTTTCTGTCCATCTCACGGAATTTCCAAATGTGGACAGCACATGAAAACCAGACATTTGTTTGTTGTTTCTCTCTTACGCTTCTGTCGATTAAGGGCAATCTCTCCTTTTCGGTGAAGTCCGTCGCGCGAGTAAAAACAAAAAACAAAAACATAACAACAAAAAAAAAAACAAAAAATCAGGAGCTCCAAGAGTGATGCATGGAGCTCCCCCAGCGCGCTAACACAAATTTTTTTTTTAATTTTCTGATTTTCTTTGACTCGTTCGACGAACTTCGCCGAAAAGGAGGGACTACTCGTTGTCTACACGCTTTTGTAGAAAATTTACGAAACATTTAAAGAAAGACTGCTGTTAACAAATACCGCTTGTGATTCTGAAGTGATCCGGATCGCTGCTCTCGATAGAAAAGGATTATTTTTCGTGTGGTGTTAAACAATTTCCTCGGAGTCCCAAACTCACTAAACGACGGTAAGCGTAGCGATGATAAAATGAGGTAGATCATAGTTAGTGGAGGGTAGATGGTATATTAATAAACGTTCATAGCATTTTCTATTTCATGGTACAGTGACTGGGGTGTGATGCATTCGATCACGCTATGAAATCGATATAATTACTCAGTGATAGAGAAAGATGACAACGGGTGGATAAAATTGAAATGCAAAGCTGTCAAACTCCGCCGCGCCCTCATGCGACCTCAAGAGATCTGATTCGCTGCTTTAAACAGAATGCTAATTTAATGCCAGTCTCTCGGAATCACAAACAATACGTGGCAGGTGTGTTTTTTGCCTTCGATTGGTGATGGAGTCGCTTCTTAAAAACCTTAAAGAACATGTAACATGTTCGATTTGTTTGGATACTTACACCGAACGCAAGACCATTACTTGTCTTCACACATTCTGCTGTGAATGCCTGGAGAGACATGCACTAACGAGACAAAAACAAGGGTTTTATCCATGCCCKGATTGTCAAGCACAAATTCGCATCCCTGAAGGAAATTGTTTTGAAAATCTGCCGAACAGTTTTCGGCACAACAGCCTGTTGAGTCTTCTTGCTGTTCAATACAGTGGCGATGGAAACGATATCAGCTGTAGTAAATGCCAGAAGAAGAACGCTGAAATCAACTACTGCTTTGATTGCGAGAAGTTTATGTGCCCCGATTGTGCGAATGCACACGAAGTGTTTCGAGATACTTTGTTTCAGAGACACAAAGTCACGCCAGTACGACAGTTTCAACCCACAGACTACGAGGCCTTGTTGAAAAGGCAGTCATTTTGCACCGTTAAGTATCACGAGAAAGAAGTAACAAAGTTTTTCTGCTCGGAATGTCAAAGCTGTGTTTGTCAAGTTTGCATCGCTACAGATCACAAAAGCCATGATGTTGTTCCTTTTGCGAAGGCAGCGGATGTTGAGAAAGCAATCATCATTGCTCGAACCAAGCTGCTGAAAGATAAGAAAGAGCTCTGCCAAGGTGTTGTCCGTGAATTTGAGAAGACAGAAGTAGAGTTGGAGGCGAATATTACTACCGCTAAACGCAAAGTTTCCCAAACAGTCGAAGAGGTGATGGGAAAGCTTCGCCAACTGGAGCATGAAGCCATTACTGCCCTCGAGGGGGCTCGCGTGTCGAGGGTTCAGAAATTACTTTCTGGGAAAGAGTCAATTGTCTCTTTGAAAAAACAACTTGACCAAGCATTTAAGTTCAGTAACAACCTGGCTGAGAGAAGCTCAAATCCAGACATAGTACAAAACTAGAAGAATATGGAAGAACGAATAGAAGACCTCATTAAGACAACAATGCCAACTCTTTCGCTTAGCTCGTTAGTTGAGTTTGTGTCGACATGTGAAACAGAGAGTTTAAGTCTGGGATTTACGAAATTCAGCGAAACAGATGTACAAGGATCGACAGTGGAAGGACTGCATCAGAATTTCCAAGTTGGTGTAGAAGCAGAGCTGCTCATTTGTCTCAAAACAAGCGAAGGAGAAAACAGAACCACTCAGCACACAGATCGTGTTGAAGTACACATAGACCCGCGAGATCAGCTGAGAAGTTTGGTGACGAGTGAAAAAGGAGATGGCCGTTTCCTGGCCAAATTTGTAGCGGAAGCACCAGGTGCTTATCAAATGGGAATTGAGATAAATGAACAGAAACTTGCTACTTGTCCCTTCACTATTCCGGTCAAGTCACGAAAGTTAAATATTGCTGGAAAGTTGGACCTCCAACGAGCAGAGCCTAAGGGTCTAGCCGGCATCGCAGTGAACAGTAAAGGTGTTGTTGCTGTGGCTGAGGGTAAAACTCACTGTATCCTGGTATTTGATGAGGCGGGAAAGTTTGCGCGAAAACTTGGTTGTAGCGGCGACAAAGATGGACAATTTAACGAACCACTCGACGTCACATTCCTAAATGATGACGAGATTCTGGTGGCAGATCATTGTAATCACCGAATACAACAACTGAATGTACAGTCAGGGAACTTTGTGAAAAGCTTTGGAAAAAAGGGAAGTGGGAACGGAGAGTTACAGAATCCCACAAGTGTATGTAATACAAGTGATGGACAGTTTATCGTCGTAGTGGAGCATAGTAACAGCAGAATTCAGATGTTTACAATGGATGGCGAACCTGTGTTAAAGTTTGGAGACTGCGGCTCAGAGAGGCTGGATCATCCATTGGGTTGCATTTGTCACGAGGACAAGTTCATTGTAACTGACAAGGGAAATAACTGTGTGAAAGTGTTTGATAGCAAAGGACAGTTTTTGTACAAGTTTGGCGAAAAAGGAAATGGTGATGGAGAACTGAATCAGCCGCATGGGTTATGTGTTGACAAGTATGGCAAGGTTGTCATATGTGACTCGCTGAATAATCGGATTCAAATGTTTACATTGGAAGGAACTTTCATTGGAAAGACAAGTACTAATCTGAAACTAAAAAAGCCCCGGAAAGAAACTTTCACTGGAAAGAAAAGCTACGATCTCAAACTAAAACAGCTCTGGGGTGTTACCATTATGCCAGATGATCGGATTTCGATTACAGAATTCAACGCGAAAGAAATATACTTTCTGAAATAATTGTACATTTATTCAATTAACCGGCGAATCTTCGTTAAGAAACCCGATGAGAATGTCTTTAAGTTTTATTGTTTTATTAATTTATGGATGTCGTGAAAGAATTCGTAAGAAGATGGCCAGAACCGGGCAACTTACCGTTAAAATTTTCGAGGAGAGTTCAAAGATTTCCGTCGATTCATTACTTTAGTGATGTGATTGTTTGTGCTGTAAATTAACAACGATATCGGAGCTAAAAATAGCTGATGATTTGCTAGGACCTCTTCAAAGATTTTCAGTCATCTAGTTGGTCTCTTATTTGAAAACGGCATAATTTTAGCGAAGAGTGATCGCGTCACAGGGCTAATAGATCCGAAAGTTACGCGCGATTGAAATGAGCTTGAAACTCATGTACACCATACAGATCAACAGACCATGCAAGGAAAAAAATTCCTTTCAAATAAGATTAAGCTTGGTAACTGCTTTAAGACTTAAGAATGTTGTAAAGGGAAAAACAATATTTCTGCAAAATAACTGTACAAAAGCACTGATTCGTGAACATTGTTGTTGATAATTTTTAGCTTTACATTTTCTTAGTATGTTCAAGTAGACTTTTCCTTGAGCACATATTGATATAGGTTTTTTTTTTTTTAAAAGTTTGATGACGATCATTCCCTCGTCAGATGGAGCATGTTTTTACATCGAATTGTTTTGAAATTTATACATTTTGATTGTAGCTAACCTTAAAAATTGTGGCAATTGCTTGGTACTCATTTGCTTTTAGTGGCATCGTATTTTCAACTTTAAGTAATAGGATTAATATTGACAGTAGTCAACACGATTAAACTAGAAACAATTTGGCCATCGCGTAGTACTTATTTGCTTTTGGAAATGTGATTAGCCTGAACCGCTTTAAGTGTAAATTGTTTTTTTAAGCAATCAACTTTTCAGCATTTATTTCTCTTAGATTTTTACGTGGCCTTGTTTTGCAGCTTGATTATAATCGTTCGCTCGTCGAACACGGAAGTATCTCTCCATATCGAATTTTTAGATTACGGTAGACATATTGACAGTTAGTTTGCATAATTAAGTCGTAAACATTGTGAAAATTGTTAAGTACCTATATACTTTTATCAGCGTGGTAATTTGAGCTAAGCATTATAGAGAATTATTTAGACCTGATTGGTGCTCAAGGTTGAATTAACAGTTAAGTTGTTTTCAGAGAGGTAGGCACTTGTAAGAAAACATGTTGAATGACTTCACCAAGAAATTGAAACGGACACGACAAAAAGGTTTTCCCGTACCGTTTAGCTTGGCTGTTAGGCGTGAAGGAGTTTGGATAAACTTACGCTGGGTAACGAAAACCTTTGTTTACGTGACAAAAAGACAACTTTCACTTTTAGTCAAATTTTTAAAGTATGTTTTAGGAACGTTTCGCATACAGAATCATTATGAAAATGTCGATTGAATTAATTACTGACATTGTTAGACTTTTTTCACTGTCTTACTGTTCTACATTGCTTATCTTTTTGTTTTGCATACTGTTGACCCTTGTTGAAACAAGTATTGTACTGGATGCGTTGCGAATAACTTTACTCGTTAGACTTGAAAATTACCTTTACTGTTTTTTCATTCAATTATTTAAACAGTTTACTTTAACTTGTGTCCTAAATCCTTGACTGAAGCGGTCTTTTTAGGATTGCTTTTAGACCGGGTGAGACTGCGCCAGTAGAAATATTATGTATTCGCAATTTTGAAAAGACTTTGATTACAAAACTGTGCGGAGAGTGTTCACGAACTTGCAATAACGAAGACAATTGCGTAATATATTGTGTTGTTGTCGCATAACGCATGCGACCTGGCTATACTCTTTGTCGAACAAGCTTGTTCGCAATTAGTAGTCATTATTTTAGTTATATATAGTTCAGTAGCAGAGTGTTGTCGAGAAGCGTTCCGAAGGATTTCGATATGACTTTAGTTAGGTTTATTTTATGGTGTTTTGTCCGACCACTCATTGACTACTGACACGATCTGGGGAAAATAAATTCGTTTTCTCATCGGAGCGCAGTCTTCCTTGTGTCATCTAGTTGGTAGAAATAATATAGCATCCCTCTTCCTCTTTTTTGGGAAAGTATCCACTACTCTATGATACAAATAATCATTGGGGCTTATGCCATGAATGCAATACAGCTTTGCCCAAATACTCGTAGAACTCATTTTATAATAGAGATTGACAAGTGTATATCGTTTTATACATTTTTTTGTGACCAACTTAATATTTGGATGAATCAATACAATTTTAAAGAAAAATTTAAGATTTGAAAAGTTATTCGCGGTAAAAGGTTTTGTTTGTCGTTAAATTAAACGAATTTCCCTTTTTTTTTTTTTTCATAGCTCTCGCGGTTTCAGTCCTTTAACATTTATAGAAGGAATCTGTATTTCTCGCAGCCCGCTTGAGTAGTCACCTATGTTAAACAAAACTGTTTACTGTGTCAAAGTACTCTCCATTCACTGTTCTTTCATCCATTGCAACGAGAGAGGGTATGTTGTGTTTTGGTTTTCGGTTAAATTCACCGCTTTTCCAAAGATGGAGTAGGATGTTGTTATTTTCGTTAGATGAGAGTTTTTGATTTTAGGGTCAGCATTGTTCCAGACATTAAACTTTGTTCCCATTAGCCTTTCCATCGTGTTTTTGCTCCGTTTGCTGTGCCTAAAGTGGAGTCTAGAAGGGAAGATTGATCATGAACGAGAAAAAAACAGCGGTAATTGTAACGAAGAAAAAGTGAGGTAGATGGTCTTTTTTGAGGTGTCCGTTGCTTGTAGCATTTGGTAACTAAGTGTCGACAACAACACATTGGGTCACGCTATGAAACCCACTGGATTACGCAATGATACAGCAATCAGACAATAGTGTGTTAAACTATCGACATAAAGCTGTCAAACTCTGCGTAAAGATCACGCGATCTTACAGAGATCTGATTCGCTGCTTTACATAGAATGCTAATTCAAGTTCAGTTTCTCGGAATCACAAGTAGATTTCACGCATGTGTTAAAGTCGGACATTTGTAATGGAGTCGCTTCTAAAAAACCTCAAAGAACATGTAACGTGTTCGATTTGTCATGATACTTACACCGAACCCAAGACCATTACTTGTCTTCATACGTTCTGCTGTGAATGCCTGGAGAGACATGCACTAACGAGACAAAAACAAGGGTTTTATCCATGCCCCGAGTGTCAGGCACAAATTCGCATCCGATAAATTCGCATTCGATATTCGATGGGCTGATATTCTTCTAGTACGGTCCCGAGCAAGCTTGGTTAATAAGAGATTTATTACACGACTGAAATTCAAAGGGACACAAGTGCGGTATCATTCGGGACCATTCGGGACAGTGCCCGGTCCAATACGGAGAGAATATAGACCGGCAATAGAGCATTTTGATTGGTTGTTTTCAGTTATTGGCCCCCTGACTTCCCGAGTCGTGTACTAAATCCGGGGATTTGATGAGACAGGAAAATTTGTCCGAAAACTCAGTTGTCAAGGAGAAAAAGCTGGGCAATTAAAGGAACCAGTCGACGTCACTTTCCTAAACGATGAAGAGATTCTGGTGGCAGACGTAGGAAACAATCGAATACAGCAGTTGAATGTACAAACAGGAAACTTTGTGAAAAGCTTTGGAAAAAAGGGAAGAGGAGACGGGGAGTTAAAGAACCCCGGAAGTGTTTGTATTACAAGCGATAGACGTTTTGTTGTTGTAACAGAGTATAATAACAGCAGAATTAAGGTATTTTCCATGGATGGCGAAGTAGTGTTGAGGTTTGGAGACAGCGGCTCAAAGAGGCTGGATCATCCACTCGGCTGTGCTTGCTACGAGGACAAGTTCATTGTTTCTGACTCAGGTAATAACTGTGTCAAAGTGTTTGATGGCAAAGGAAAGTTTTTGTACAAATTCGGAGAGAAAGGAAACGGTGATGGACGGTTGGACAAGCCTTGGGGCATATGTATTGACAAATACGGCAGTATTCTCGTCTGTGAGAAATTGAATAATCGCATTCAAATGTTTACATTGGAAGGAGCTTTCATGGGAAAGACAAGTGCTAATCTGAACTTACAGTGGCCCTGGGCTGTTACTACAATGCCAGATGATCGGATTTTGATAACAGACTTTAAAGAAAATGAAGTATACATTCTGAAATGAATGCACATTTATGACATTAACATACGCCGAATCTTAACCGCCTCCCGGTTAGCTCAATGGGTAGAGCGCTGCACTAGTATCGCAGAGGTCAGTGGTTCGAATCCCGTACAGGCCTGAAATTTTTTTCAGGTCTGATTTTCACTATTGCTCAAATAGTGCTCTACTGCGAAGGATTGTTCCAGACATTAAACTTTGTTCCCATTAACCTTTCCATCGTGTTTTTGCTCCGTTTGCTGAGCCCAAAGTGGAGTCTAGAAGAGAAGATTGATCATGAACGAGAAAAGAAAAACAGCGGTAATTGTAACAAAGAAAAAGTGAGGTAGATGGTCTTTTTTGAGGTGTCCATTGCTTGTAGTATTTGGTAACTAAGTGTCGACAAGAACACATTCGGTCACGCTATGAAACCCACAGGATTACGCAATGATACAGCAGTCAGACAATAGTGTGTTAAACTATTAACACAAAGCTGTCAAACTCCGCAAAAGATCACGCGATCTTACAGAGACCTGATTTGCTGCTTTAAATAGAATGCTAATTTAAGTTCAGTTTCTCGGAATCACAAGTAGATTTCACGCATGTGTTGTGGTCGGACATTTGTGATGGAGTCGCTTCTAAAAAACCTTAAAGAACATGTAACGTGTTCGATTTGTCTTGATACTTACACCAAACCCAAGACCATTACTTGTCTTCATACGTATTGCTGTCAATGCCTGGAGAGACATGCACTAACGAGACAAAACCAAGGGTTTTATCCATGCCCCGAGTGTCAGGCACAAATTCGCATCCCTGAAGGGAATTGTTTTGATAATCTGCCGAGCAGTTTTCTGCACAACAGTTTGTTGAGTCTTCTTGCCGTTCGACGCAGTTGTGAAGGAAGTGAGATCAGCTGTAGTACATGCCAGAAGAAGAGCGCTGAGATCAACTACTGCTTTGAATGCGAGAAGTTTATGTGCCCCGACTGTGTGAAAGCACACGAAGTGTTTCGAGATACTATGTTTGAGGGGCACAAAGTCACACCAGTGCGACAGTTTCAAGCGGCAGACTATGGGGCCCTGTTGAAACGGCAGTCATTTTGCTCAGAGAAGTACCACAAAAAAGGTGTGATTCGTTTTTTTTGCGTTGACTGTCAAAGATGTTTGTCCAGTTTGCGTCGCTACAGATCACAAAAGCCATGTTGTTTTTCTGCTTGAAAAGGCAGCGGATGACGAAAAAGCCAATATCATCGTTCAAGCCGAGCTGGTGAAAAAGAAGAAAGAGGTCTGCTGAGATGTTATTCGTGAATTTGAGAAGACGGAACTGGGATTGAAAGCGAACATTACCACGGCTAAACGCAAAGTTTCCCAAGCCGCTGAAAAGATGATGGGTAAGGTTCGCCAATTGGAACGTGAAGCCATGAATGTTCTCGAAAAGGTTCACGAGTTCAGGATCGAGAAATTACATTTGGAAGAGCATCGGTTGTCTCTTTGGAAAAGCAACTTGATCAAGCAGTTGAGTTCAGTAACAATCTGGTTGAAAGAGGCTCAAGTTGGGATATACTGCAAAACAAGAAAAACGTTGAAGAACGATTCGAAGACCTCATCAAAACAACAGTACCAGCACTTCCGGTCAGCTCGTTTGTGGAATTTGTATTGACAAGTGAACCAGAGAGTTTGAGTCTGGGATTTACGAAGTTCAGCGAAACAGATGTGCAAGAATCGACCGTGGAAGGACTGGATCAGAATTTCCAAGCTGGTGTCGAAGCAGTGGTGATGATTTGTCCCAAAACAAGCGAAGGAAAAGTTAGCAACAAGTATAATACAGATTGAGTTGAAGTACACATAGACCCAGCTAATCAGGTGAGAAGTTTGGTTACGTGTAATGAGGAAGACGGAAGGTTTCAGACAAACTTTGTAGCGAAAGTACCAGGCACTTATAAAATGGAGATCAAGATAAATGGACAGAAACTTTCGGAGAGTCCATTTGTTATTCTGGTCAAAGCGCGTGAGCTTAAAGTTGTAGGAAAGTTAGAAGTTCAGGGAGAAATGCCACAGGGTCCTGTCGGCATTGCAGTGAACAGTAAAGGTGTGATTGCTGTCGCCGATCATAAAGGTCACTGTATCCGGGTATTTGATGAGACAGGAAAATTTGTCCGAAAACTCAGTTGTCAAGGAGAAAAAGCTGGGCAATTAAAGGAACCAGTCGACGTCACTTTCCTAAACGATGAAGAGATTCTGGTGGCAGACGTAGGAAACAATCGAATACAGCAGTTGAATGTACAAACAGGAAACTTTGTGAAAAGCTTTGGAAAAAAGGGAAGAGGAGACGGGGAGTTAAAGAACCCCGGAAGTGTTTGTATTACAAGCGATAGACGTTTTGTTGTTGTAACAGAGTATAATAACAGCAGAATTAAGGTATTTTCCATGGATGGCGAAGTAGTGTTGAGGTTTGGAGACAGCGGCTCAAAGAGGCTGGATCATCCACTCGGCTGTGCTTGCTACGAGGACAAGTTCATTGTTTCTGACTCAGGTAATAACTGTGTCAAAGTGTTTGATGGCAAAGGAAAGTTTTTGTACAAATTCGGAGAGAAAGGAAACGGTGATGGACGGTTGGACAAGCCTTGGGGCATATGTATTGACAAATACGGCAGTATTCTCGTCTGTGAGAAATTGAATAATCGCATTCAAATGTTTACATTGGAAGGAGCTTTCATGGGAAAGACAAGTGCTAATCTGAACTTACAGTGGCCCTGGGCTGTTACTACAATGCCAGATGATCGGATTTTGATAACAGACTTTAAAGAAAATGAAGTATACATTCTGAAATGAATGCACATTTATGACATTAACATACGCCGAATCTTAACCGCCTCCCGGTTAGCTCAATGGATAGAGCGCTAGACTGTTGTGCGGAGGTCGAGGGTTCGAGCCCCGGCCGGACCAACACTCAGGGTCTTAAAATAATTGAGAAGAATTTGCTGCCTTTCGGAAATTCGTGATTTGTCATGTGTCGTAAAAGACTAATTGGGAAGAAAATAACTAGAATCGGCGACTTGCGTTTTCAATTCTTTAGGTGATCCTTAAAGTCGGCTTTCGTGTAAAGTTGTTTTATGCTAGTGTAATTTGTTTTTAGGTAATCGACGTTTTCAGCATTTATTTCAATCAGACATTTTCGTGGACTTTTTCTCAAACTTGATAACAATCGTTAGTTCGTCGAACGGAAGCGTCTCTTTTTATCGAATTTTTTAGAAGTATACATATTGACAGTAGTTACCTGGTTTAAGTCGTAAACAGTGTGAACATTGCAAAGTACCAATATACTTTTATCAGCATCGTTTTTTGATCGTAAAATGTTATGATAAATTAAAGGTGAGAATTATTTGACCTGATTGCTTCTCAAAGTTGAAATAAGCCGAAAACAACTTATACTTCTTTTCAGATGGAGAGGTATCAGAGAAAGAAAAAGTTGTGAATAATTTCACCAAAAAATTGAAGAAAAAAAACGACAAAAAGGTTTTCCCGCACAGTTTACCTTGGTTGATAAGCAAGAAATCGTTTAGTTAGCTAGCGGTTGGTATCGAAAACCTTTGTTTTCCCTAATAAATAGACAAGCAATTTTCACTTTTAGACTCAGGTTTTCTTTGAACTCATTTTAGAACGGACATTGCCAAGTGTATATTGTTTCATAGATTTGTTTGTAATTAACTTACTACTTGGATGGATCAGTGTATTTTTAAAGGAAGTTTGAAATGAGTTATACACCGAATGCAAATATGGCGTCCAATTTTGAGTTGCCATTGTTCTGGACTGACTAGCCTCTCACACATGTAATTATCCTTTTGTATTTCCACGTGAAGACGAGGCTAGTCAGTCCAGAACAACGGCAATTCAAATTGGACGCCATATTTGCATTCGGTGTATTTACCGTTACAAATTGGTGTTTGTCGTTGAATTGAAAAAACGTTCATGCATTTTTTGTGGCTCTCACGATTTCAGTCCTTTAACAATTCTTTAAGAAATTTGTACATCGTTCCTTCTTGAGTAGTTACCAGGATAAAATATAAGGCAGCTTATCGCACACAGTTCCCCGCTTATTACTGTAGTCTCGTGTGTCGTTGACCTGATTTCTTGCCTTGACGCTTTACACCCTAACGGTTACATCCGTATGCATATTCTCCATACTGTTGTTCATACACTCCCTTCTCCTAGCAAGGAGAATTTGTTTGACAATCAAGAATTTCTTTATATGGGGATCATTTCCCATATTCTCGTGACGTAAATGTGTGATTCAGGGTTAGGATGCGAGATACTAGTCACTCTCAGGGTTGTAAGGGCCAAGAGTCGTTTTGGCTTCCTTAGCGGAACTTAACTTGCTAAATGTTTGATGCTCCGAAAAAAAAAAAAAAAAACACGCTAAATAACTTCTTCCTCCGTTTGCTGCACCCATATTTGAGTCTAGACGCTAAAATTGATGATGAACAAGAAGGAAGAGCAGTGGTTCAAGTAATGAAGAGAAAATGAGGTAGATGATCGTTAGCAGATCATAAGTTCTTTATCTCCGCAGACTGCAGACTTAAATAGGTCCCTTGGATTAGTGCAGTAAATTTAGGAGGGCCTAACTCCGTGAGAGGGAGGGGGGGTGGGAAATAGGAATTCCAAGTGTTTTTTTATCTCATTTTAATCTGCATGTTTTCTGATGTAATCGCACTACACCTTTTCAAAAATATACGGGAACCCCTCCCCCCTGACTTAATTCCGTTTGAGAGCCAAACTAACCAAAATGTTTTCTCGCAAATTTTCATTACTCAGAGACAGAGCAAACTAGATGAAGTAACTGGGAGGACTGGGGAGACCGATGGTTTGGGAGGTATCCCAGCTACAAAGCCTCCCCTCACTACACCCCTGGAAAGAAGAGATATTCCTCCACAACTGAGCATGACTCTGGAGCACATTGTGGGCCAGCTGGATGTGCTAACACAGGTTTGTCGTAGGAGCATTTCTAGACAGGGAACTGTTTTCGAAACCAAGAGCCTTGGGAGTGGGGGAGGGTGTGAACACCTGTTACTGACGTCATCACGTTGTCAAGCATTTCGGAGAATACCAGGGAGTTGGGAGGTGGGGGGACCATGAAAGGGGGAAAGGGGCAAAAGTGTGGCCCAATGAAAATTTTCACAAACCGACAATGGATCAATACCCGTTTGAAAACACCCTTCATTAAGCAAGACACACGACTTAGAAACGGGGACATGGTTTTCGTGTACTCAATTTCCGCTGACTCCCCGTTACCAATCTTTGATAAGGATGGGTTCATGAAGCCTTAATCAGGCGGTCTTTTATGGGGGTGGGGAAGCACTACAGCTGCTCAGTATCTCCCCTCCCCCTGGAAAAAGAAATACCTGACCGCAGGTTGGGGCTCGTTTCGGAATCAGCGGTTGGCAATCAATTCCATGGCCCAGTCGGAAAAGAGGTTTTGAACAGTTCCTGAGGGAGAGAGTGTCATTTTCATTCAGTCACTTTTTTTGCAGACGGTTTCGATTTTGGAGCAAAGGCTGACGATGACTGAGAACAAACTACGAGAATGCTTGGATAACCAACAGAAAATAACTCTTCAGATCAGACCTAACGAGTAGCGAAATACAACGCAAGTATCTAGCGACCCAATCATTAGACATGGTCAGAATTCTGTGAAGACTAGTCCTTGGGTGATAATATTGTAAACTATTGAAGTCATTTTCAGTTGAGTGGGTAGTAATGATTGCATTGGTTTAGCCTGTTCTTGGTTTAGAAAGATTCCGCCGCCCTCTTGAACAATATGATTCTCATCAAGACCAACACTTTTTCCAGCGCGTCAGACACTGTGCTTTAGGTTCTCTATGGTATTTTGTGATATTTTCCTTTGTTAGAGCAGTTTCCAACTGAGTATCGAAAGTGATCCTGCATCGCTTTGGTTCCGCCTTCGTTCTGTGATTGGTCCAGAAAACCCGCGCTACCATCTCAGCCAATCAAATGCAAAAACTAAAACCAATCACAACTTGGTCACTCTCGTTTTCCCGCGCTTCAAGCAGGTTGCCTGTTTCTAATTTGAGTTCTCATTGGCCAATGATGATGATGGTAACTTTTTTTCTCAGCAGTTGTGATCATGCTGTGAATTTGGGTTAAGGATACTCGGGCGAAATGCGCTCTATGAGAAAACAGTGTTTTATATTCGTGTGTACATATCATTTTAAGTTACTAAGGCTGTGTCAGAACTGATTGTAGATTAATAAACTATTTTTGCCAACCTTTCTCCATGTTTTTGCAGAGAATTTGTTTTATATGTAGTCGGAAGTTGACGTAGCTCTTCTGCGAGCGGACTTTATCTGTTCTCCTCATTCGATGCTCTGAAAATGTGTTGTAAAACTGTCTTTGGTCTAAATGCGAAATTGGTAATTATATAATAAACAGGGCACTACTTTTCCGCTAGTGGATACGACTTTATAATATCTCTCACGAGTGTAAAGAGAGAAGGAGTGAGAGATATTATCACTGATCAACACTCGAAGGTAAAATTCGTATTTACCCGCGGTTAGGTAATTCCTTCATACGATTGTCCTAAAGGTTTTGAGTAACCACAGGGAGCCCAGACAAGCGACGAGTCTGGTTGTTTATTCGAAATATAAAGGAATGTATGGGAGAATATTGAAGAGTCTTATTATCGTAAACTTATATCATGAAATGTCTGAGTTAAAGCTCAAGTTTCTCGGAATACCAAACTCACAAGACAGCAGTAAATGTACAGAAGAGGAAATGAGGTGGTTGAACTGTTTCCAAACATTCGTAGTATGTTCTATTTAAACAATAGAGTGTTTCTGTCGAGGAACTATCGGCTGATAGTTGCCCCGCGGAAAAATGATGTTCTTAGAACAAATATTTACCGGAGAAGCGAAGCTTCCGGGAAAATATGCTAGTTTTAAGAACATAAAATTTCCAAGGGACAACTATCAGACTGATAGTTCCGAGACATAAACACTCTATTGTCCTTATTGTTCAACACGAAATTTTCTTCCGCGCGCCAGTTGAAAAACAGTCAAAACCCACTAAATGCAGATCAATCAAATATTTATTCATGCGTACAGCCTGTCACAAATGTCAATAATTCGCATCCGCACATTGGCTAAATAATACGTTATACCTGTCAGAATTGAAAAGCCACTATTTTTCCGATCTGCCCTCTTCAACGTTTTCTTGAGGAAGCTTCGCTCCGGGAATGTCCTCTTCGATAATAACAACTTTTTTTGGAAAAACTGGCTTTCTCTGCTGCCATTTTGAAGTTTCGCACGTCCACCCAAACGATTCCACAAATACCCTACGAGTCAAGTTCGTGCCTAGATTCCTCATAGTTTCTGGAGTGGGGAATACTAATCCGGCAGCCATTTATGAAAGTTGTCAATAATTGGTGATAGACTCGGGAACGGCGCATTAGATCACGCTATTAAATCTATCTAATTACTCAGTGACAGAGAAAGAAGACAATGGTGGATAAAGTTTTAATGCAAATCGGTCAACTTCCATGCGAAGATCACGCGATCCTGGAGAGATCTGATTCGCTTCTTAAAATAGAATGGTACTCTTAGTTCAGTTTCTCGGAATCACAAGCACAATGCGGGTGTGGTTTAGTCGCTGTTACGTGATGTAATGCCTTTTAAAAACCCTCAAAGAACATGTAACGAGCGCAACGAATTCGGTCACGCTATGAAAGAACTCAAAGAACTACTTACACAAAAATCAGACAATAGAGTAATAAATCATGAACGCAAAGCTGTCAAACCCCGTACGAAGATCGTGCGGTTCTAAAGAGATCTGATTCACTGCTCAAATATGTAACGTTGTGGCTCTGTACAGCAACAAACGGGTCTTATTATAAACGATGCTTTTAATCCATGAGTCGGTTCACGCAGCACAGCCTGACAAGATACCGAGCACATGTCCTACCCGGTATCAGTAGTATGTTGCGCCTGACTGGTTATTCCGTAGAGGTCTGGGTCCGAGTGTCTCGGCCGAGTGAGATCTAATTGACGAAATTCAGCAAAACATACTACTGGTATCCTATAGGACAACAACTATCACGTGACGTTACAAAGTAGAATTCAAATTTCAATTTATGTTCCTAGAGGCAGGTGTGTTTTTGCTTTCAATTCGTTATGGAGACGCTTCTTAAAAACCTCAAAGAATATGTTACATGTTCAATTTGTTTGGATACTTACACCAAACCCAAGACCATTGCTTGTCTTCATACGTTCTGCTGTGAATGCCTGGAGAGACATGCACAAAAGAGAAAAAACCAAGAGCTTTATCCATGCCCCGAGTGTCAGGCACAAATTCGCATCCCTGAAGGAGATTGTTTTGATAATCTGCCAAGCAGCTTTCTACACAACAGTCTGTTGAGTCTTCTCGCCGTTCAAAACAGTGGCGAAGGAAATGAGATCAGCTGTAGTACATGCCAGAGGAAGAGCGCTGAGATCAACTACTGCTTTGAATGCGAGAAGTTTATGTGCCCCGACTGTGTTAAAGCACACGAAGTGTTTCGAGATACTTTGTTTGAGGGGCACAAAGTCACACCAGTGCGACAGTTTGAAGCGGCAGACTACGAGGCCCTGTTGAAACGGCAGTCATTTTGCTCCGTTAAGTACCACGAGAAAGAGGTAGCAAAGTTTTCTGTGTGGGCTGTCAAAGCTGTGTTTGTCCAGTTTGCGTCGCTACAGATCACAAAGGCCATGATGTTGTTCTGCTTGAAAATGCAGCGGATGATGAGAAAGCAAACATCATCGTTCGAGCCAAGCGAGTGAAAGAGAAGAAAGAGGTCAGCCGAGATGTTATTCATGAATTTGAGTAGACAGAAGTTGAGTTGGAAGAAAACATTACCACCGCTAAAGGCAAAGTTTCCCAAGCAGTTGAACAGATGATGGAAAAGCTTAAACAACTGGAGCATGAAGCCATTACTGCCCTCGAGAAGTCTCGCAAGTCGAGGATTCGGAAATTACAGTCTGCAAAAGCATCGGTTATCTCATTCGAAAAGCAACTTGACCAAGCATTTGAGTTCAGTAACAATATGGTTGAGAAAAGCTCGAGCTCAGACATAATGCAAAACAAGAGGAATGTTGAAGAACGAACCGAACTTCTCATCAATACTAAAATACCAGAACTTCCCGTAAGCTCGTTTGTGGAGTTTGTGTCGACATGTGAACCAGAGCGTTTGAGTTTGGGATTGACGAAATTCAGCAAAACAAATGTGCAAGGTTCGACCCTGAAGGGACCAGATCAGAAATTCCAAGCTGGTGTAAAAGAAGAACCAGTGATTTGTCCCAAAAAAGGCGAAGGAGGAACCAGTAAAACTGAATTTTTTTATGCTCTTTTACTCTTTATAATTATTATTTTATTAATTTGTATTTATTTGTTGAGTTATTAATAGTTATCTAAGTGAGTGAGTAAGTAATTTAGTAGGTACTTTATTTAAACACGTAAACACCTAGAGTTAACACAAACTCCATTGAACGTGGACGTGTATGAAAAAAAAAAGATAAATAAATAACTAAATGTAAAAAATAATAAATAATAATAAGAAAAAGAACCGAAGTGGAAACCTCTACCACATGAAGATGTGATACTTATGCAGGATAAAAACTAGTATAAATATTCTTAGTTAAATTTTGAAGGGCCTTTTTAAAAATTTTAGAGATTTTTGGATTTCTAATGCAGAGTGGAAGCTTATTCCGTAGTTTGCTGGAAAAGGATTTATGCTTCAACTCAGTGTTAAAGTGAGGTTTTGCCAAGTTGCTTCCCTTACCCCATAAGTTGAACATATATTTCTTTTATTCAGAAATTCAGCAATGTACGTTGGACCTATACAGTTAAGACATTTATAAATTAACACTTCTAAAATCTAACGTCTAGTGAAGGAAAGGTAACTGTACACCGTAGATAGCAAAGCATAGCTAATCTAGGTGGTGTAGAGTCAAGATAGGTTTAACATAGAAAAAAATATACATATACATATCTGCTAGACTCGGGAATTTTGTTCTAGATTCTAGCTCCAAGCCTTGAGAAGGATTGTTGTGCTTTTTTGTCCGTGAATGAAATACGTGAAATTTACCAGCAACCGCAGCTCTAGTGTTATGAGAGTTCATAAAGGCTACCCCAGTGAACAGGTGTTTCAGATATAAAGGTACAAAATCATGGTCAGTGTCACACATCAAAACACCCACTGATTTATCATTGAGCATATCAATAGGAAGAATGTTTAAATTTGATCGCAGAAGTAATGGAATTGCATGCTCAGGTACTTTTGTTTGAATTCTTAGATTAACACATTGGTAGTAGTTAGCAGGATGAAACTGTAAACATTTTGGCAATTGCGTAGTTCTTGTTTGCTTTTGTTGGGATCCCATTTGAAATGTGATTAGAAACCGTCTAAGGACTTAGGAGTGTTCTGAATACGAGAAAATAAAAAATAAAAATAAATAAAATTGTGGATTTATAAGCGCCGTTTCCATGACGGGATGATCAACTGCGCATTACAACAATGCATGGAATAAATACTAATTACATCATTACAACAATGCATGAAATAAATACTAATTACATCATTACAACAGTGCTTTGCAATAGATGCCAGTTACATCATGTGTAGTATAAAATATTAAAAGCTAAGCTAACTAAGAATAAAAAGCCTTACTAAAAAAATGTGTCTTTAAGAGTTTTTTAAAAGTGTCGACAGATTTAGCCATTCTAATTTCCGAAGGTAAATCATTCCAGAGTTTCGGCGCCGAAACAACGAAAGCACGGTCGCCTAGGGTTTTTAAAGTTTTAAAATTCGGGTAAGATAGCAGTATTCCGTCATTAGAACGCAGTCCATATCTTGAATTTAAAGGCTTCATTTTGAAAAGATCATCGATATAGGACGGTGCGGATTTGCGAATGGCTTTGAAAGTTAAAAGTAGAACCTTAAAATTAATACGAAATGAGACAGGAAGCCAATGCAGCTGATGGAGTACCGGTGTAATGTGGCAAAATTTGCCCTGCATAACAACAAGTCTGGCGGCTGCGTTTTGATTTCTCTGCAATTTGTCAATATGGCACTTGGACACACCGTATAATAGACTATTACAGTAGTAATAGTAGTAATATTACAGTATTAGTAGTCTATTCGGCTACTAATAAAGGAGTGAATANTTTATTCCGAAGCATAGTGATGGTTCGTAAGATGCACATATAGCGGAATAGTGAACAGGTCTGACGGATTTCATCATAGATGCCATTGATTTCCTCACGAAGTACCATACTCTCATGTATTCTTACTCTGAGCTCCTCCGCGATCACGTTCTTTGTAAAGGAAGCAGATGATTTCTTCCACTTAGCACGCCTATCTTTGTCGATCTTGGCAAAAGTAGGTGTGAGTTCGAAGCTCTGGCATAGTCGTAGAAAGTTGATTGATCCCTCGCAGTTGATTTGCTTTTTGCTACAGCGTTCGAGTTTCCGAAACAGATGTAGCTGATTATCTCTTTTCAAACACGAGCGCGTAGAAGGGCACACAAGGAAATCATCTTCTATCTACAAACACTACCACCTCCAGCACAATAGTGAAATGCCTGAACGCTTGATCGAGCAATTCAACGTCATCACGAAATGTAACGGCAAATTTGATTGCCTTGTTAATGAAATGTTGTATATTCGCATGCGTAAGCCAACACTGAACGTGCAAACGGATTCCATCCGCGCCAAGGTGTTTGTTTAAGCCGTTCAGTCTAATTTATGCTATTCTTGTACCTTTCCTTATTTGCATGTTTTTAAACTAGTCTCTTGATAATGGAGTCACGATGACCCCGAAACGTCGAGTAATAAATCTTTCCTGGTTTTTTCTATGCCTTTGCTTTAGCAAATCCCTGCTGATCAAATATATTGTGAAGTACATTTTTGATGTACAGTTTTTTGCACGCAGGTTTTTTGTTGTTGTTGTTGTTGTTGTTGTTGAAACGAATCTCTTACTGAATGATTTGTCAATAAATTTACTAGTTTTATGTGCAAAGTTACCTAATTGTAGTCATAAATAAGTTTGCTATTTTGCTGTACTAAGAACTCTTCTTTGAATGAAGCAGGCTCTGTAGGATTATCTTTTGACTTTGCATCGCTTTTTGCATCAATCTTTTGATTGCATGAGTTAAAGGCTAACATGTAATATCAATAAACCATTGATACTGATTAGTGGATAATAAATTCTTTATATCCTCAGACAGCGGTCTTACTTGTGTCCCTTGGATAAGTGCAATAAATTTAGTATTCTTCTCCCATCTGTGGGAGGGTCTAAGTCTGTGGGAGGGATGGGGGGAATGGGGGAGAGAGCGGGATGGAGGATTCTAAGGATTTATATAAATTATAATCCCATTTCTCTCTGCATGTCATAATCTCGCTATACCATTTCAAAAGTTCACGAGAACCCCTATCCCCTGACTTGGTTCCGTTTAAGAGCCAAATTAACCAAGATATTTTCCCACAAATTTTCATTCTTCAGAAACAGAGCAAATTAGATGAAGTAGTTGGGAGGACTGGGGATGCTGAATGGTTTGGGAGGCATCCCAGCTACACAGCCTCACCTCACTACACCCCTGGAAAGAAGAGATATTCCTCCACAACTGAGCGTGATGACACTGGAGCACATTGTGGGTCAACTGGATGTGCGAACACAGGTTTGTCATAGGTAGCATTTCTGGACAAGGAATTATTTTTGAAACCAAGAGCCTCGGGGGTGGGGGCGGGGGATGAACACCTGTCGATAACGTCATCAGGTTGCCACGCATCGGGAAGAATACCAGGGAGCGGGGGGGAGGGGTCATGTCAGGGGGAAAGATGCAAAAGTGTGGCCCAATGAAAAGTTAAACATACCATAACAAAACAAGGAATCAATATCCATTTTAAAACACCCATGATCGAACAAGACACAGGACTTAGAAACAGGGACACGGCTTCGTGTACTCAATTCTCGCCAGTTCCTTTTAGCAATCTTTTAGCATGGGCTCATGGCAGCCTTTATTGGGTCCTCTCCCGTAAAAAAAAACAGGAACACCTGACCGCAGGTTAGAGCTCATTTCGGAATCAGACGTTGGCTAACAAGTCCATGGCCAAATCGGGAAAGAGGTCATGAACAGTCCCGTACATTATTTCTTTGTATAGGCTCAACGAAACGTTTCGTGCAACGTGGGGATGTAATCGCTTACGCTTAAACGCTAAGTTGTTTTTTTTTTAAAAAAAAAAAAACATTTTTGAAGGGGGGGGGATTGTCATATTCACTGAGCCCCTTTTTTGCAGACGGTTTCAATTTCGGAACAAAGGCTGACGATGACTGAGAATAAGCTACGAGAATGCTTGGACAACCAACAGAAAACAACTCTTCAAATCAGACCTAACGATCGCGAGTAGCGAAATACAACGCAAGTATCTAGCGACCCAATCATTAGAAATGTTCAGAATTCTGTTTAGACTAGTCCTTGTGTGATAATGTTGTAAACTAGTCTATTCAAGTAATTTTCAACTGTGTCGAAAGTAGTCGTAGCTTGTATTGGCTTAGTCTGTTATTAGTTTAGAAAGATTACACCGCCCTCTTGAACAATACGAGTCTTGAGATACAATGAATATATGAAGATCATATATTTTGAACTGCGGTATTAGATACGTATGATACGTACAGGCCTGATTTTTTTCAGGTCTGATTTTCGCTATTGCTTAAATAGCGCTATCTACTGCGAGGATCGTGCATCATACGTAAATACGAGTCTTATCAAGACCAGCTCTTTTTCCAGCGCATCAGACACTGTGCCCAGTTTTTGCTTTAGCTTCTCTATGTTTTTTTTTTTTTTGTGATACTTTCCTTTGTTAGAGCAGTTTCCAACAGAGTATCGAAAGTGATCCTGCATTGCTTTGGTTCTGCCTTACTTCGTTCTGTGATTGGTCCAGAAAACCGGCGCTACCATCTCAGCCAATCAAATGCAAAACCTAAAACCAATCACAACTTGGTCACTCTCGTTTTCCCGCGCTTCAAGCAGGTTACTTGTTTGTACTTTGAGTTCTCATTGGCCAATGATGACGATGATGGTAATTTTTTTTTCTTAGCGGTTGTAATCACGATGTGAATTTAGTTAAGGACACTCGGACGAAATGCGCTCTATGAGAAAACAGTCTTTTGCATCCGTGTGTACATATCATTTAAAATTACTAAGGCCGTGTCAGAACTGATAGTAAATTAATAAACTATTTTCACCAAACTTTCTCTGTGTTTTTATGGAGAATTTGTTTTATATTTAGTCGGAAGTTGAAGTAGCTTTTCCGCGAGCTGACTTTATCTGTTCTCTGCATTCGATTCTCAGAAAATGTGTTTTAAAATTGTCTTTGGTGTAAATGCGAAATTAGAAACAGAATAAACAGGACATTACTTTTCCGATGGTGGACACGAGTTTATAATATCTCTCACGAGTGTAGAGAGGGAACGAGTGAGAAATATTATCATTGATTAACAATCAAAGGTAAAATACATATTTACGCGCGGTCAGCTAATCTCTTTTGACGATTGTCAAAAAGGTTTTGAGTAACCGGGCTGTGATACAAAGCAGGTGGTATTGAAAAGTTTCATTTCCATCAATTTCTGACACTTCTATGCTAAAAAATTTGAGCCACAGGCATTCGGAATAGCCGGCACCAGTTTTCAGAGTAGATGCTGAAATGTGCAGGTTGCCGGCTTATTGTGACAACCCAGCCTTCTTTATAGAACCTCTTAACTAGAATTACAATAAGTTTTACTTTTCACGTCAAGCTTTTAAAACTTCGAACAACGATGGTAAGGGGAGTGAACTATGCAGGGGCGTAACGTCCATATACGCAGGCCCACGTGTGCAGCTGAAATCTGGAAAAAAATTCTTTTTTAAATTCCTTAATAGCATTTGTCAGTTACCATAAAATAGGACCGATTTTTTAAATTTCGAATTATACTGGCGAGTGTGTTTGTTCTCGAGTACGTTTTTTACCCCCTTTTTTTGTTGTAGGTTACCAAAAACTAGAGATGGGCGAAATAAACAACTAACTAACTACTGCATTTTCCATCGCATTTATTCATAAAGAAGTTCCGCGGAAATAGTCGTAAATGGCATTTCCGAGACCATAAATTTCAAAATTTTCAAGGGAAGCATGCCCCCAGACCTCCCTAGTTTGAAGCACCTTCGGCACTGCCAATATCCGCGCTGTGCGAATACCATCAAAATCGCACGCTACGCCCCTGCTGCGCATGATTGATTTGTGTAACGAAAAAACTGCGCGGGCTGCGAGGAAAAAGCAAAATGCCCCAAGACATAACGAGATTTCAAATTCTTGGCCATTTACAGACCTTGTAGTTTATTTTCCAGCATCTTCGAGCGCGAGGAATGAAAGAGCCGTAGGGTATTTAAAGAACACGAACCCTATTTAAACAGCTACGGACAGAAAAGGAGATCACGCCAGCCTCACCATCTGTTAGGCTGTTACCGAACGCTTCAAAAGAGAAAAGCTTAGTTAAGAGGGCGAATCGTCCATCTCCTTTCAATAACGTAACTGTTTTTACCCATTGTCCTCCCCCCCATTGTCCCCTCCCTCCCCTTCCCCCGCTCCTTTTACATGTTGAACCGGAGAACTTATGTTTGAAAATTGCATGGTGATAAGAATAAACTGTGTGGCAAAGGAAGGTTGCAGGCGAGCGTTTCTTTTCTCTTTTTTCTTTTTTAACTTCAAGGTACATTTATTTGACACTTTCGCTGCAACAAACGGTTGACTATCTGAGCAACTGCGCATCCACTCATCCGTTAAACCAACATTAACCCTGACTTGTCATCGGCTGACTGTTTTTGGGTTCTAATGATAATAATAATAATGATGTTTATTCAAACCTTTTGCAGAGAGCTGAATTACAGGTTTGTTACAACGAGTTGTTGTTAAGATTGAGAACAGACGTCAGCATTTTCTCAG